AAAGAAAAGAAAAAGAAATTTAACCCCAGAAAGCATCATAGTCCCACAGTATTTTCCTTCCTCGATACCTAGTTATCTTTTTTGGGGGGGGACAGAGTCTCACTCTGTCACCCTTGGTAGAGTGCTATAGTATCACAGCTCATAGCAACCTCAAACTCTTGGGCTTAAGCGATTCTCTTGCCTCAGTTTCCCACGTAGCTGGGACTACAGGTGCCCATCACAACACCCAGCTATTTTTTGTTGCAGTTGTCATTGTTGTTTAGCTGCCCTGGGCCAGGTTCGAACCTGCCACCCTCAGTGTATGTGGCTGGCACTGTAACCACTGTGCTATGGGTGCCGAGCCTACACCAAGGTATCTTATTCATAAACTCAGCCCCTCAGAAGAATCTCAGTTTCTTCTCCTGTGAAGTGAGACTAAAAACACCTATCGATAATTTCAGAAAGGGCTCTCATATGACTGTTTTTTAAAAAATTAAAATAAATTAAATGAAATCAATTCTAAGGGCCTCACAGAAATTACATAATTTAATCCTATCCTCACAACAATTTAAGAGGTTCTATTATCATCTTAGAGATGGGGAAACTGAGACCTAGGCAGGTAGAACAAATTCCTTGCAATCACACAGCTCTCCATTTGACAGGCTTGCTGTGGGGACTGGCTGGAATGTAAAAGCAAAAGTTACTCTGTGCCATACAGTGCAGTAAGAGGAAAATACACCATCACTAGCAAGCCTCCAGCACGCTTGGGTCTGTGGTGACCTGTGTATTCCTACAGCGCTGGCTAGAACAGCTCTGAAGCAGTTTGAGGCCTTGCCCTGCCCTACCCAGAGCAAGGTTATAGAAATTTCTGACAATCAACTTGCCCCCTTCTGGATCTGGTATACTGGACATTGTATAGATGTACACTGTGTAATGTGGCAGCCCCTTGGCGTAGATTACATTTAAAATTCAGTTTTGACGGGCAGTGCCTGTTGCTCAGTGGGTAGGGCTCCAGCCCCATATCCGGAGGGTGGCAGGTTCAAACCTGGCCCTGGCCAAACTGCAACAAACAAAATCGCCGGGCGTTGTGAGTGCCTGTAGTCCCAGCTACTTGGGAGGCTGAGGCAAGAGAATCGCCTATGCCCGGGAGTTGGAGGTTGCTGTGAGTGGTGTGACACCATGGCACTCTACCCAGGGTGATATAGTGAAACTCTGTCTGTACCAATAAAAATCAGTTTTGGCTGGGCATGGTGCCTAGCACTCTTGGGATGCTGATGCAGGAGAATTGCCTGATCTCAGGTGTTCAAGACCAGCCTGAGCAAGAGCAAGACCTCATCTCTACTAAAAAGAAAAAAATTAGCTGAGCACTGTGGCAGGCACCTGTAGTCCCAGCTACGTGGGAGGCTGAAGCAGGAGGATCGCTTGAGCCTAGTAGTCTGGGCTCAAGCTACTGGCATTAGCTGTGAGCCAAGCTAATGTCTCAGAGTGAAACTCTTTCTCCCCAGTAAATAAAATAAAATTCAGTTTTTCAGTCAAAAAAAAAAAAAAAAAAAGGATCAGCTTTTCATTTTAGTTGGGTTTTAAAAAAATATTTAACTGCTTATTTTTGGATGCAAAGAAGTGCAATAAAGATATTTTGTGACAATTTATTTCTAATAATACATAAAATAAGTATAATTATTTAAGAATTATTTTTTAATATGGTGAGTCAGTTAAAAGAAGAAAGTGAAGAGAGACCTAATTGTACATATTCAATGCTATGGAGATAGGTGAGCATTTAAAGCAAAATGTCATTTCATGGACAAAAGTACATCATTTACTGAATGATACTCTAGTGTCCTAAAAGAGTTAATTTACCTAACATGGGTGAACAGTGTTTTACACAGGGAGTAGTTTCCTCCTTTCAGACCCATGATATTATTTAAACAAAAAGAAGGGGGAAGAAATGGAGAGAAAAGAAATCTGTCTTGTATGCATTGATTATAATTAATATTAATCTCGGTGATTGCTATGATAAAGACAGATTTATTCCTGCAATAATGCTGGAGTCTTTGCTTTCAGAGTTAACTTCTTATTTTCCTTTTACATATTTATTAATCTTGCACAAAGTACTCAATTAATCTTCAGAGCCAAATTAATAAGCCCATCAAATATTTGTATTGTTAAAAACAGTCACTGGCAATTCTAGAATAAAGTGATACTTATCCAAACTCATTCCGGGATCAGAATCATTGTTCATGTCAATTCAGTTTAATCCAGCAAGCTCGGTAGTTGATCAAAAGACTTATCATTTAAACTTTGCATTAAGAATTTGATTTCTTTATCATAAATAATATACCCACTACTAGAATATTCCCTTTAATCTTGCAATAAAACTATAGCTAAAGAAAATGCCTTAATGTAGTAAGGTGCAGCCAGAAGAGGCAACATAGGGGAGTAATAGTCCAACATCCTGAGAGATAACAAAGTAAATTCTTCAACGCAAGCACAAAAAAATTTAAAAGTCAACATTCCCAAACATTATGGACAGAGTACAATAGAATTGGGATGAATTGTAAAAGGGATACAGTCAAATAAACATGACATGATTCCTTAGCTGTTGGATGCAAAATACCATAATAATCCTTTTCCAAGGTTTAAGTGATCTGTGTCATAAATAGATATTATAATTCCAGCACACTGATTTTGAAACTCAGAAAACTACAATCCAAGGCTGAATACAAGGGCCATCTCTATTCTAGGACAATTTTTGTTGTCGTCTAAATCCCATTTTTTCTTCCATCAATCTCAACTGAAATCTTACTTCTCTTAAGTCTTCCTTAATTTGTATTTATCACCATACTGGGAGATTATGAGAAATTCTGGAAGAAGTTATTTTATATCTAGAAAGAGTTCATAATTCTGAGAGTTACTGGAAGTTACAAAATTACCATAGAGAAAATTACTATAGAGAAAACCATATGCTCTAGACAGATTTCTTTAAGTTTGGAGTTTTTTTTTGCTTTAATAGCCTAAGACAGGCATGAAATTAAGTGATATTCAATATCTTCAGCCCTCTGGTAGTATATGGTTCATTTCACCAACTACTTTTAACATAGAATATTACATTTTGAACTCAATTCTATTTTTAAAGAAATGCATGATTAAAGATGCAAAGATCTGAGCTGAGAGGTAATTACTATAAGCACTCATACCTTAACCTTCATGTGATTCTTAACTCAATTCTATATCCTGCCAATTTACTTTATTATGAAAAACTTAGCTATCATAAAAGTAATCAGAATAATCAAATTAATTAGACATGACACATGATTATTTTCTAATTCTATCATTCCCTTAACAATTTACCTGGAGTTCACCTGTAAAAAAAAATAACTTCCTTTCTCAGCTACAACTATTGGTTTCCCCTAAAATAAAGTTGGTCTGAAAAGGGGTAAAGGAATTTGTAGAAGCCCCAGTTGCCTTCAGTAGCTTTCAATGACTTATGTGCTTGTTTGTCACTTGGTTTTCTCTTATACCCCGGGCCTGAAACGTAAAAAGTGCAAACTGGACACAAAAATAGAGAATTGTATACAAATTCGCCCATCATAGGTTTAGGGTCCATTTTGAAATTGTTTATATAATTCCAAAGTACTTATTATAAATGCTGTAGAAGCAAGTGTTGTCCTTAACTCAGAACCCTCTTCCTCATCTAGGTACATTTCTCTGAATGATTTTCGTTATCATCACTTTAGTCATTAACTGTAGTACACTATGTAAGTAGATCGTGTAATGTAGAAGCACATTATCAAAGTCATTTTAGCCAACAGTAAAAATTCAGCTAATCTATCCATTCATGAAAGCTTTCAGATTGAAGATAACATCACAAATAAGGAAGGCGATAGCAAGAGAGAGGCTGTGAGTGTAAACTTTAAACGTGAATTAGTATATTATATGCTCTAAAAGATGAGAAGAGCAGCCTTAGATGCCTCTGTTCCACCATCTCTTGGACGTTGACATTTATAGTGGGAATAAGACATGTGAATCTGGCCTAGAATTCTGTTTTCTTTATGAAAAGGAAATTAATTTTTATAATTTACTGAGAGGAAGTACCATGTGTAAAGCATTCCTTTTGCTGTTGCAGTTGGCCCAGAATAAAAATATTGCCAGAGGAAGTGTGAGTTTAGGACTTGAGAAGATCTTAAGAAGTATGTGTATCTAGGCAATCCCCTTTATGTAAGAAGAACTTAGCGGTGAAACAGCTTGTCACTATCACAAAGCACAGGGATTCAACCATACTTAGAATTCAGTTCATGCCTCCCTGCTATTATCTGTTGTACTCTAATGAGAAAGGAAACTTAACTTACAGGGTGTCTTTTCAATTCTTTATATCTTCTATAATACCAAGATAAAAGATAATTGGCCTTAAATTTTTTTTTAGTATTTTTAGCAACCATAATATTCTCTTTACATTTTAATGTAGTTTCCAAAAGGATACATATACGTACATGGATATTTCTATGCATGCATATATGCATGTATACATATACACAAAATAAAAATATGATAAAATGATTAGATATGACTAATTCTAAAAAGAGTCATTATAATATGCAAAATTTCTTTTTTTTTTTTACATGCAAAATTTCTATAGTATGTAAATATGTTCTTATTACTTGACTGGAATAGTTTTCTCTCATGGGACTCATCCAAAATTGTGAATCATCATTGCTTTGTTTGGAGGAGATATGAGTAATCACGTTTTGTGTTGTCTTATTAAACAATTTGGAAAACTGACTCAAATTCAATCACTGACATACAAAAAGAAAATTACTTTCCAGATATCAGACTGACTTTCATCCTTCAAAGAGCAGTCTGACATTAGATGTTGGGAGTTTAGCAGAAATTCCAGGGCCCAAGGCTGTTTTACAGCAGCTGCTTTATTGATCCAAACCACATTCAGTTATTTGTCATGGTCTTTTCTAGAAATTTAACTTGCTTGTGTTCAGTGGTGGAAGAAAAGAGCAACAAAAGCTTGTTGCTGCCTCACAGAAAAACAAAGTGCAAACTCTGTCATTATCCAGTGACTTGAGACTTTCACCATCTTCAATTCAAATCTTTCGGTTAAATACAGATTTTCAACATTACTTAGTGGGTAAGCACTGTAGAAAACAGTGTTTTGCAAGGTTAAAGACATGGGTTCTATAGTCACACAGACAGAATACGCACACTATTGCCACTTTAATCTTGAGCACGTTCCTTAGTGCCTAAATACTTTAATTTCCTCATTTGTAAAATCAGGATAATAATAGGTGCTCGGAAATAATAGTATTCTGACATGATGCATGTACCGTGGCTGATTTATACAAAGTTTTCAATAAATATTAGCTAGAATGATTAAAAGAAGTTTTAAAAAATGTACTCTTATTAATTGGTGACAAACACCAAAGCAAAGAAAGGGAACTCAAATGTGTTTAGTGTGATAAATGTTGTTTTCATAAATTTTCTGGTTACTAGCTAATTTAATCTTCCCCCAAACCCTGTGAAGTAGCTATTAAATGCTCAAGGTCACATACAAGGTTCTTTTTAGTAGTCAAGCTCTTGGTAGTTAAAATAGAGGGAATAATGCATTTAGAAGAAGTCATATATATTCTCTGCCCAGTGGCTGACTTAACGCATGTAATTACCACAAGTGACAATAGAAGTCCCAGCTCAATCTAATAACTTCTTTTATGCACATTTTCTCTTAAGTCAAATAAATGTACAGTATTGCTACTTAAAGATAAACATATTCAAAAGAGGAAGTCAATCAAAAGTTATTATGTTTTGCCCATCTAATATGAAACTTGCAGTTGTATTCTAATTCTACTTGCTATAAATAAATAAGCAGGTATCCAT